GTAAATGTTCTGCTGCAGTCGTTTTGGATTCTCTTCAGCAAAGTTTGACTTGCATGTGATGTTAGTGATACTGTTGGATGATTTCTGCATTCAGCTTAGTCACCTTTCTTTGCAGTGGGCACAGATATGGATAACTTCCAATCCGTTGGCCAGGTAGCTGTCTTCCAAATTTCTTGATATAGATGAGTGAGCATCTCCATTCCTGCATCAGTTTGTTGAAACATTTCACTTTGTATTCTGTTAATTCCTGAAGTCTTGTTTTCCCAGCGCTTTCAGTACAGTCTGATCCTTTTCAATAGCATCAGTTCTTGATCAAATGGTACTTCTTTAAATGGTGCTTTTTTTTTTCTTTCTTTCGGTACAGTGACTCTGTATTCCTTCCATCATCTTTTGATGCTTTCTGTGTCATTCAGTATTTTGCCTGTGTTGTTGTTGTTAAGTGCTGTTGAGTTGATTCTGGCCCATAGCGACCCTGTATAGGGTTTCCAAAGAGCAGCTGGTGGGCTTGAACCGCCGACCTAGCAGTTCAAAGAGACTTTGCAGTCCAGCGCATTAACCCATAGCTCCAAGAATCCTACAATATTGCAACCCAAGGCTTGAAGTTTTTCTTCAGTTCTTTCAACTTAAGAAATGCTGAGCATGTTCTTCCCTTTTGGTTTTCTAACTCCAAGTTTTTGTACATTTCATCATAATGCTTGACTTATCAGGTTGCCTTATCTTATCCGGTTGCCCTTTGAAAGTTTCTGTTGAGCTCATCTACTTCATCATTTCTTCCAGTTGCATTAGCTTTCCTGTGTTCAAGAGCAAGTTTCAGAGTCTCTTCTGACATCCACTTTTGGTCTTTAATTTCTTTTCTTCTCTTTTTAATGTCCTTTTGCTTTCTTCCTGTATGGTGTATTTTATGTCATCCCACATCTCTTCAGTCTTCTGTCAGTAGTAATTTAGATGGCCTTTACATTCAACTGAGATATATTCAAGGTCAGTTTTTGGTTCCGGTGGACTTGTTATAATTTTCTTCAGCTTCATCCTGACCTTGTGTATGAACAACTGATGGTTTATTCCACATTGGTTCCCTGGCTTTGTTTTGACTGATAATACTGAGATTTTGTCCCATCTGTTCCCACAGAGTAAGTGGTCTGTTTGATCCCTGTATATTCCACTTAGTAAGGGCCATGTGTATAGTAATCTTTTATGATGTTTCAAAAAGGTATTTGCAATAAATAAATTGTTGGACTTGCAAATTCTGTCATGTGATCTTCAGCATCATTTTTGTCGTCAAAGCCATATTTTCTAATGACTGTCCTTCCTCTTTGTTTCCAACTTTTGCATTCCAGTCACCAGTAATTATCAGTGCATGTTGATGGCACGTTGGATCAATTTCTGACTGAAGAAGTGGCTTTAGTGGTTGGTGGGTACATTTGAATGATAGTGCTAACTAACTGTTCTTCCTTGCAGGCATATGGCTATTATTATCCTATTACAGGCAGCATTTCCTTCAAGAGAGATCTTGAAATGTTCTCTTTTGACTGTGAATGAGACATCATTCCTCTTGAATTTGTTGTTCCCGGCATAGTAAACCATGTGATTCTCAGATTCAAAATGACCAATACCAATCCATTTCAGCCCACTAATGTCTAGGATATTGATCTTTATGGTTTCCATTTAATTTTTGACAATTTCTAATTTTCTTTTAGGTTCATACTTCATACATTTCATGTTATGATTATCAATGAATGTTTACGGCTATTTCTTCTTCTTTTGTCTTGTGCCCCATCAGCAAATGAAGGTTTCCAAAGCTTTACTCCATTCATGTCATGAAAGTTATCTCTATTTTGAGGAGGCAGCTCTTCCCCAGTCATATTTTGAGTACCTTCCAGCCTGAGGGGCTCATCTTCTAGCATTATGTCTGACGGTGTTCTACTGCTGTTTATATGGTTTTCAGTGGCTAAATATTCAGAAATAGTCTGCCTCTCCTTACTAGTCTGTCTTAGTCTGGAAGCTTCGCCGAAACCTCTCCATCATGGGTGACCTTGCTTGTATTTCAAATATGGTATAGCTTCCAGCATCACAGCATCACAACAGTACGCAAGTCATCGCAGTATGACAAACTGACAGACTGTTGGTGGATTTCCAAGGGTAGTGACTGTTTTTTCCAGTAGTCCGAGTAAGCTTCCACAGGCTACCATCTGCCAAAAAGCACTGTTTCTTTATTTTATGAAAAGCATTCTGTTACCTGTTAGAGTTGAGTAAAAGAAAGTTTTTAAGGAAGTAAAAAATATGGCAGTGGAAACATTTGCATTGAGAAGTGCCAGGAAACTGTGTATATATGTGATAGAGTATTTGAATGATCTTTTGGCAGTTTGACAGGCAGAGAGTGGGGCAGGCAGTGGAAGCCAGGGAGCAACATGATCAGCAGTGTGACTGTGAACTTAGTGTGCGTAGTGGAGTGTGGTGGGCCATTACTGTGCTGTGCTCTGTGGATATGTTTGGACAAGGAGTGTATATCCTTGCCCTCAGAAAGAAAAGGATTGACTCTATGGGATTGCATGTGGAAAGTATTGTGTCTGAAGACACAATGCTACTACTACTCTTCCCCAGTCCAGTTATTTGATGATGAGAGTCTGTATCCATAGGAATGTAAAAGGAGTGGACAGATTTGACCTTTATTTGAAAGTTGACAAGGCTTGGTGGTGGTTAGATGATGCAGAAGGATGAGTTAAAGATGTCTGTGAACTCTTCACTAGGTAACACTTTTATGTGTAGCAGGGAACAGAGATTAGGGTGAAAATAGTGTTCTTAAAGACGTATTGCAAGAGCATGACTCACAATAGCCAAAAGGTTGCAAATAGTCCCTGTGCCCGTTAGCAGAAGGGTGAATAAGTAAAATGTGGTGTATCAATACCATGGAATTTTCCTCCGCTGTAAAGAGAAATGAAGGCCTGATGCGGGCCGCAACACGACTAGACCTGGGAAGCATGCCGAGTGAAATATGTCAGTCACAGAGGGCAGGTCTTGTAGCATCCCACTGAGTGGAACTCCCCAGAATAGGCAAGTACATAGAGACTGAAGCTTATTAGTGGTTCCTGGGGGCGGGACGGAGTCACGGGGAAAGGGAGGCATGGTTTAGGCACACTACGTTTCTGTGAAGGATGATGGGAACAGGTAGTAATTATGGTGGTTCCACATGATACACATAATTAGCATCACTCGATGTACAAATGAAATAGCAGATGTTTTGTCGTATATCTTTTACTACAATTAACAATTTTTTAATGATAAATTGCAGCCCATCCATGTGACACCAAGAAAGCAGTTGGAAATAGGCAGATGATGCTCTCGAAATGGTCTAAAGTGACAGAGAACAAGCAGAGCTGTCAGAGGAAACAGAAATGATGGGATTGGAAGAACTGGAAAACTTCAGTGTCACAGAAGCCATGGGAGGACGCAGGGGTGGCAGCACAGCATGGTCATTGGCAAAGGAAGACATTGGCGGTGAATACTGTGACATAGACAACCTTAACAATACTAGGAACAACAAACCATACGAGTAGATGTATAGATGGGCGTGCATGCCGAACAGATGAGGGAAGGGAAATGAGTGGGCCTGTGAGTGTCTACAACTTTGGAGAGACTCTACATTTGCATTTGTATGTGCTGCAAATGGATCCAAGAATGGTGTAGAGCATACAGGGGCAGGGTTTTAAAAACTTCTTAACCCTAACCCAACACCTAGAGGGGATGAGTTACTGGGCTTCGGGACGTAGGACCACAGTTTCGGGAGGCATCTAGGAATAATGTAGTCCACAAAGACAATATTCTATATCCTACTTTAGTTACTATCCACTGGAGTCTTGAAAGCTTTCAAGTGGACATCTGAGATGCAATTATTGGTCTTTCCTCATTTGGAGCAAAGAAGAGTGAAGAAAATAAAAGACTTAGGAAACAACCCAAAGGATTAACACTACTTACACATCCCTGAGACCAGAAGAATGAGATGGTACGGTGCCTGTCTATCACTGCCAACCACTCTTGATAAGGATCACAATAGAAGATGTTCGAGAGGAAGACAGAAATATAGAGAACAAAATTCAAAATCATGAAAACTGGTGTGGTAAAGACCAGTAGGTCTGGAACTCCTGAGACTGGCCCCTTAGATACCCTTCAAGCCTGGTACTGAAGCCACCAGCGAGGATCGGCTTTCAGCTAAACCACTGACAGGCCTAAAGAGTGAACGATATCTCCCTATGAAACCAGAAGGCAGGGATGGAAGGATGGTGAATGGACCAGGGAGCCAGGGAGGAAGTAGGAAGAGTGCTGTTACACTGAGGGGATCACAGTAAATGTTACAAAACAAAAACTAGCTAAATTGTGGGACGGATAATTTGCTCTGTAAACTTTCACCCAAATGCTCATGAAAAGAAAAGAAAAAGACATCCCATCGAGGTGTTGAACTGGAACAAGGCTTGAGAGGGAAGCATTGGAATTGCTGGTATTTTAGAGAAGATTTACTAGAATGAATGAAAGTCAAATTTGGATGTAATAAAACTGGCTTACTTCTAACTAGATTGGTAGAGTCCTATTTTACTGAGAATCTTTTTCCTCTTCCTTTTAATTGTATTTCACTACACGGCCAAAATATTATGTTAAGATATATTTTTCAGCTTAAGGTTTTTTATTGAGGGAAGACTGCTTTTCTTTCTTTTTTAAGTGACTGAATTGGCTTTATTTTTCTCATTTTAAAAAGATCTCGATTACAGTGTGATCGTTTTGGCGTTTAATATAATAAACGTCTAATGACCCTGAAATGAAAAATTTTTCCCTGTCCTTGCTGAAGAATCAAACAACCTGATATTTGATTTACACAGTGCGTTGGTCTGATAGATGTGTTTATTCTCAAGTTACACAGGGCAGTGTTAATTGATTCTTGGTGGGTGCAGTCATCCATTTGGTGAGAAACAGAAATCAGTTTAACATGTTCATCCCTTCCTCTTGTTTTTTAGGCTGCATAGGAGGCTGTGTCGGGCATCTGGAGAGAAGAACTGTACAGGAATCCCCTCGCCAGTTTATGCGCCTTTTCAGGAGTGTCAATAAACGGTGGATTACATTTCAGCACTTTAACTTCCTCAAGCGCATGGTATATTTAGCAGATCCTCTTTACTATGTCTGCCTGTACTCTCTGTCTCTCTCTGTGTGAGGGGATTTCAGAAACTCCTATTCCAAGACAAATTTTAAGACGGTCTATTTGAAGGCCTTTTATTGTGTGTCCTCTTAACGTTTATCCAAAACTTTCTTATTTTGATTATTCTTAAATGAAGCCAAAATAATTTTGGCATTTGAAGGTCAAAGTATGATTCTGAATTTACTGATTTGGTTTAAAGAAAGAAAACTTGTGACATATTCAACTAGGCTGAAGTTGAGAAAAGCTGAACTGTTAGGATACAGCTTTGTAAATTATATGAATTTCTATGAATACAGCGGTAATTTAGAAGCCGTTGCTTTAACAGCACTGTTGTTAAGTTCTATCAAGTCAGGACCCTGTATAGGGCTTCTGAAGCTGTAAATCTTTGCGGAAGCAGAAAGCCTCATCTTTCTCCTGCAGAGCAGCTGGTGGACTCCAACTGCTGACCCTGTGGTTCACAGCCTAGTTCTTATCCTGCAGAGCCACCATACTCCCTTCCTTAAACATCTATCTCTGGATTTTCTTACACCAGAAATGCATTTTTAAAGTCTTAACACATGTGCTTCTGAGTAGACACAAATTCAGATTTTGTAGTTTGCTAGGCCTTTATAATGGGCATTCATGGTGCACTTCAAGCCTGTGTTGGCCCTTATCTAGGTTGACTGCATGGCAGTGTGTGAGCACCAATGTGGCCATCTTCTCCAGAAGGCGACTGGAGTGTGAGAGCGGTCACCTAGCATGCCTGGTAACAGGCAGGGCAGAAGGGCAGAGGAATAATCGAACACTCTGTCTTAACGGTTCTCTCTTCTCTTTTTCACTTAAAGTGCCCTATCTATTTAAAGTCATTTTTTGATAAAGAGTTTTACGTTCCCAGGTAATTTTCCATGTCTTCAAGCTGTGAGGTACCTCACAAATGTAGTCTTAATCATTTTTGCTAGTAAGGAACAGAGACTGAATCTTAACACTTACATTCTTCCACCTACCCCACTGTTGTAATGTCACCGGGTTCTTGCTTTTATAGAACACTTTTTCATTGTCTTTAGAGTATTAAACCTCCAGTCTCTGGTACTGCTATATGAGGAATTTTGGAGACGATGAATATAAAACAAATTTGTCTTTCAAGAAACTTAAATTCCTAAGATTTTCTTAAACATACACTTAAGAAGCCATTGTTAAGGCATGAAGTATATTCTTCATATCTCTTACTATAGAGATTTTGATCTAATAAGCACTTCCTACATACATGCTGATTTAACTAATTTTAAATTATATGAAAATTTTTCAGGTCCTATAAAACTTGAATTGATGAGGATTGTTACTAAGTAATCATGTAAGAGCTTTGGGGGCTAACATGTACTTTCTTTTTTAGTATGTCACACAACTGAACAGAAGTCTCAACCAGCAAGTAAAACCAAAGCCAGAGCCCATGACGTCTTCATTCCTTGAAAAACCGTCTTCGGGTCAAGCCAAAGCAGAAATATACGAGATGAGATCTCTATCATCGCCCAGCCTGTCTTTGTCCAGAAAGCCAAATGAAAAGGAATTGTTGGAACTAGACTCTGCGTCAGTTCTTGAAGGCTCCATAGAAGTGGGAAAAGAGACAAAAGATGGAAAACAGTGGAATGAGATGAAGCTGCACCTGGATGATCTGCCGGGAATTTTGGCTCGACTATCCAAAATCAAACTCACAGGTACTGTCTTTATTCTAGTGTAGGTACTCTTACTTGAAACGTTAGTTAAATCAAAAGCTAATTTTACTTGCTGATCTAAAAGGAATATTTTGAAATTGCAGGTCTTCTGAGTATTTTTCCTCTCATAAGTTTAATTTGGATTTGAAATAAGTTTTTTATGATTCTATTTGCACAGAATGCAAATGTTATTACGCTGTAGCTGAAAAGAGTCTGTTTGTTTGTAATTCAATTAGAATGTTATTCCAGCTTGTTTCTCTGTGTTGTGTTTTCATACCTAGTGTAGTTTAAAGGAGTCCTGGTGTGGCATGGTAGGATAAGCACTGGACTAGTAGCTGCAAGGTCAGCAGTTCAAATCCACGAGCCATGCTTAAAAACCATAAATACGGTCACTATGAGTTGGAAGCCACTCAGTGAGATTCTGCAACAGTAGTGTTAAGATGCAATAGTATACTGAGTTCTGTATGTCTGAGGTTTTGGAAACTGGACGGACTGCACTGCTGTGTTTGATGTGCCAGGTAACCAATAGTGACCATTGCTTTTTGTGGGACTCCCAAATACCTGAGTGGCTCCAGTTATTTGGGAATAGTAGAGTGATTTACTGAAAGAAAGTTTGGAATCAGACTTTCTTGCCTAATTTTAGCAAGCTACACCAAATTGTACTGCATTTTATTTGGCTATTAACCCATAATTATGTCATTTGGTTGTCACCAATACCCTGTGAGTCAGACAAGATACTATTATTATCCCATCTTATAGCTAAACTTAGAAATAGCTTGCTCTGGCTAAAACTGTCTAGAAGATATATCCTGTACCATTCTGTAAACTGAGGAAGACTTGGTCTTTCCTGGAATGACAACAAGGAGAAAGAGTGTTTGTTTGTGAAAAGTGAGGTTAAACCTAGAACTGTTGAGAACAGACAGTGAATAGTAGTATTGAGTCAAACTGGGGAAGTGAAGAGATGAGAGAGAGGCATTTTTTGAGAGTGGAGAAAGACAAGAGAAAGAGGGATTTTATTTGTTTGTAAAGAGAGGTGAGTCTTTCGGGGACCTGCCTCGACATAGGGGTTCGGTTCGGTTCACGAGGAGGAGATACCTGACGGCGATTCATATATAGCAAGAATACACAGAAAGAGACAATGAGAGAGGCAATGAGGCACCCCAAAGCCAGGGTGGTGGATACATCACTGGTGGGCAGACTTGGGAGTACAGGCATCGTGGCCTCTGCAGGCAGCAACTCACTGCCCTGCCATCTTTACTGCATGCCCTCCAACCTGTAATGCACTGCAATCTTTACTGCACGCCTTCCAACCAGTAATGCACTGCAATCTTTACTCCACGCCTTCCAACCAGTAATGCACCCCTGGGGAGGCCCAGGCCTCTGTTTTATTTAGGGGAGGAGCTTCACACCAAGCTGGGAGGGACCAAAACAGGATACAGCTAGCATCAGTACTTTTCCAGACATTCAGGTAACTTTACATCGTACGCTGGTTCGAATCCCAGGCCAGCAATTTGGTTTCTCAGGCCCAATTAACATATCTATAGCCCCTGAGGTCAGTTGGGGGAAGGTGAAAGGTAAGGACAAAAGCTTGGGCGGAGTCCTGCTGTTTCGGCTTCCTGAGCCAGGTTTTCAGGAGGACTGGAGATGCCCAGGTGAATGGGCTGCACCTGGAAAAGGATTAGGGAGGATGGGTTCTTTGTCTGTAGAACAAAGAACTGATAAGTAGCTAAGATATTTTTAGTTAATCCTTTGTAGAAAGGTTTAACCTTGCAACCTTTAGTCTTGGCTTTAGGAAAATATCACATTTATCTGTGGATTCTCAAAGGCTCTGTGTATTAATTTAATACATGTAACTGAATATTAAGATGAAAGCAATTTGCCATTAACTGCCAGTGGCCTCATTTGTTACACTCGGGCCTATAAGGCCTCGAACCTCTGACCAGTCTTACACGGTCCGCAACAGAGTCTGAGATCCAGAATCTCAATGTTCAAATTTACTAAGAAAAAAAAACTCAATTTTTTTTTCTTTAAATGATCTATTATTTTGTTATTAAGTGCTGTCGAGTCAGTTCTGATCCATAGCAACCCTGTGTAGGGTTTGTGAGGAATGGTTGGTGATCTTGAACTGCTGACCTTGCAGTTGAAACCAACTTTGCAGTCCAGTGCATTAACCCACAGCACCACACCAGGAGGGAATTTGACAAAAGATCTGAAGAGCCTTTATAAGGCATGTTGTTATCGTCTAGTCATTTCTGACTCATAGTGACCTGTGTAGGGTTTCCTAGGAGCAGCTTGTGGGTTTGAACTTCCCCTTTGTGGTTCCAATCTGCCTTGTGGTACAGTGCATTATCCTGCAGCTATGTGTGTCTACTGTACCATACGTAGTATACTTAATTCTAAAACTGAGACCAGTTCAGGTGGATTATTGAAAACAAATCTTAAGGGTTTATGGTAGTGGAAAAGGAATTTCTGTTGTTTTTTCTCTTACACCAGTGATCTGAGTGTCATGGTACTGACATATTAAGAATGACTATAGCACTGGGGTCCAGGTGTCTATTTTGTGTGCTGTGGGCCACAACACTGGTTCGCAACATCAGTTTGGACCAGAGTCAGCGGTTCAAACCCACCAGCTGATCCTTGGAAACCCTAAGAGTTGGAACACTAGATAAGATAAGGAGCCTTGGGGGCACTATGACTAAATGCTCAGTTGCTAGCCAGAAGGTTGGCTGTTCAGAAGATGGCACAGTTGGCTTCTGTAAAGATTCCAGCCTTGGAGCCCTACGGGGCGGCTCTATTCTGTCCTCTCAGGTCACTGATTTGGAATGGACTTGAAGGCACTGGGTTGGGTTTTGGTTTGTTGCACATGCGATGAAATCCTTTGGTGATGCACGTAGAGAATGCACTGACTGTTATTATAAAGGTTGGAAGTTGACATCCACCCAGAGGCGTCTTATAAGAAAGACCCACCGGTCTGTGCCTTGGCAGTCTACTCCTGAAAATGGAGCCATTACAAACCCTATGGAGGAGAGGTCTACTCAGACAGCATGGGATCATGATGGTCAGAGGTGAATCGGTGACAGCTATTGTTTTGGTGTTTTTATAAATTAAATATGGTTATATGACTTATCACCCCAAAAATGAGACCTCTCACTCTGCAGTTGTAAGACGTGACCTTTGTATGTGCCCATGATTTAACACGTCCATAGTAGTCTCCCTATTTCACTCTTCTCCACTGCAGAGAGTGGTGTATTGAGTCTCCAGTGTTATTGACCATCTGCCTGTTTCTCTCTTCAGTTCTGTCCCTACCTGCTTCATATATTTTGGGACTGTGTAGTTAGATGAATACACATTTAAAATTATTATGTCATCTGGATAAATTGATACTCTTGTCATTATATAATATCCTGGTGTGGCTCTGTTAATAGCACTGGACTGCTAACAACAAGGTCAGCAGTTCAAACTCAACAGCCACTTTTGGAAACCATTTGGTAGCGTAGTGGTTACGAGTAGGACTGTTAACCTCAAGGTCAGCAGTTCGAAACTATCAGCCATTCTTGGGAGAAAGATGAGGCTTTCTGCTCCTATAAAGATTTATAGCTTCAGAAACCCTACGCAGGGTCACTGTGAGTTGGAACCAACTCCATGGCACCACCACACAGGGTTACTCTGACACGGAGATGACTGGACTGCACACGGCAACAGCAATGATAACCATATCCTTCTCTGTCTCTTTTAACACCTTTTGCTTTAAAGTCTATTTTGTTTGATATTAATATACCCATACCAGCTCTATTTTGGTTGCTATTTGCATGGAATGTTTTTTCCCCCTTTTTTCACTTTAATATGTTTATGTCTGTAAATCTACAGTGAGTATCTTATAGTCAGTATATAGTTGGACCATGTTTTATATCCATCCTACCAGGAGTCTTGGTGTGGCGCTGTGGGTTAATGCATCAGACTGCAAAGCCATTTGAACTGCAAGGTCCGCGGTTTAAGCTCACTAGCTGCTTCTCGGAAACCCTATATAGGATCGCTATGGGTCAGAACCGACTCAGTGGCACTTAACAACAACAACTAGTCTGTCTTACGTCTGGAGGCTTTCATCTCCTTACATTTAAAGTCACTTCTGATAAGGAAGGACTCATGAGGCTTTGCTTTGTTTTCTGTGTGCCTTAAATCTCTTGTTCCTCATTTCCTCCAAGACCGCCTACTTTTCTTTTTTTTTTCTTTTTTAAACTTGAACCATTTGGATGCTTTCTCATTTCCTTTTACGTCCGTCTATTTCTAAGGAGCTTTTTCTGTGTGGTTACCATGGCAATTACATATGACATACTACATTTGTAACACTCACTGGGTCCTGGTGTGGTCCTGCAAGTTAATCCACTGGACTGCAAGGTTGGCAGTTCAAGCTCACCAGCTGCTCCTCAGAAACCCTAGACAGGTTCACTATGACTCAAAACTGATCTTGATGATACCTCCTAACAACAAGAAGTTTTAATTAGGACTCCTGTTGGGGTGCTGTAAGATCAGCACTGACTTCAAAACATAAGGTCAACAGTTCAAACCCTCCATCTTCTCCTCGGAAACCCTATTTAAAAAGTTTGAATGAATACCGATTGTTCCTTTTCTGCTTTGTTCCCACCTTCTTTATATTGTCACAGATTACATCTTTATACATTATGCAACCAAGACTATATAATTATCTTCAGGCTTTTGTCTTTTAAATCATGCTGTTGTTGGGTATTTTTGAGTCAATGCTGACTCATCACAACCTTATACAGGATTTCCAAACAGTGACTGGTGGGTTTGAACCAGCAACCTTGTAGTTAGCAGTCCAGCGCCTGTCATCTAGCACCACACTAGGACTCCATTGTTGTTGTTGTTAGGTGCCATCGAGTCAGTACTGACTCATAGCAACCTTATGCACAGCAGAACGAAACACTGCCCGATCCTGGGCCAACCTCACTACTGTGGCCACACTTGAGTCCATCGATGCTGCCACT